ACACACACGCATTCTAAACTTGTGCTAATATTTCCGTGCAAAAAAAAGTTCTCCGTGAACAGTGAAATTGTGTTTCAAAAAGAAAGGCTTAATTAATATTGGCCAGCCGGTGTGCGCTTGTTTCGGGAATTCACCCTGATCGCCGAACAGTCTGCCGCTGTCACGATATTTTTTGTATGCTTTATCCATACACATTTTTCTGTTCGCATAATTCAATACAGTCCACTTCTCGACGCTCCACTGTGCCAATACAAACCCTACAGTTGTTCAAGAAACAGATTTCGTCAACCATGGATTTAAAATAATCCGAATTTTATAAATCCTATTTTTTATTTATTTCAATTTACTATACATATATTGGGCAAGCTTCGCGCTATTCTGCGCTGAGCATTGATCTCTATAATTATTTACATACATACATACATATATATTGGGCAAGCTTCGCGCTATTCTGCGCTGAGCATCGGTCTCCAATTACATACATACATATATACACACGCCCGCATAAGGGCATATCAAGTTATTATTGTAATTTTTTTTCGTCTCCTCTTTGTGCCTAGAGCGTGTACAAGCACCTGCACTCATACTTTCCACAGCCGAACAGTGCCGACGAGATAAAATCCGCCACCTACAATTTTAAGGAAATTTCGTGAGCCAAGAATTTAAAGTTATCCGAATTTTATTTATCCTATTTTCATTTAGGTGAAAGAAATACAAATTTACACACATACCTCCATACATACAAGCTTCGCGCTATTCTGCGCTGAGCATCGAAACCCAAACACAAACGAGTGTTTTTAATTGTCTTCGATTTAACCGCCGCAACGGCTGTGTTGTTGTTGCCCTTAACTTCTTTGGGTCCCTCAATAAACATCTGCGCTCATAGTTAAACATTCATTAACAGATCCAGAATTTGAATTTAAGTTAATTAATTTTTAATTCAATCTTTTCAACTGAGCCGCCGCAACGGTCGTGTTGTTCTTTCCTCTTGTTTATTTTGAGTTCCGCACTGCTTTGCCGACGGCATGACCCATTGAGTTGTCTCTCAAACAAAAGCCAAGGGTTTATTTCGACCATTTCGGATCCGTGATAAATAAAGTTGGCAACAATTAATTACTTCCGACCAATACGTTCCTAAATTCGTATTTAATTTATTACGGGATCCATCCACAATTCGTGCCCAATTTTCTGAGCAAAATATAAGCAAACCTCCACGTCCGAAATATATTATATATTCTATAATACACAAGGCCTTTTAATTTCGAATTAAAATTATTCCGGTATTTTAATTACGGCCGATTCCGTCAATCCGTTTGGGAAGATCCCAGTCCGCATTTCCGCGACCCTCCCCGATTAACTTTAAATCCACTGCTCGACCACAAAAATGGCTCAAACCGCCATCGACATTGCGTTGAGGAAGTTTATTGCCACGACAGACCATATGAGTCAATTCGCGGCAAATTTCCAACCTCTAGACGTCCCAGAAACCACCCAGCCCTCTCCGTCCACGTGTAAAGTGCGTCGCGACCAAATCCGGGTTTTGTGGGAAAAGGTGGAGAAGAGTTACGAGAGCTGCTCCGAACTGCTCTACGTGTCTGACGACGGCGCGGACACTTCAACGGTGTTAGAAGCTAAGTATAGCTACTGCTACTCCGTTTATTCCAGGTGTGTGGCCCAGCTGCAGGAGATAATAGAAAGGGGCGCGGCCCAGTCAACTCTGGCTTCCAGCAGTGGCCACACACCCCCTTCCACCGGTTGTCGTTTACCACCGGTAGACACCGAGGTGTTTGCGGGCGACTATCTTCGTTGGCCCACGTTCAGAGACCTTTTCACGGCGGTTTATATTCACAACTCGCGTCTCACCCCGGTGGAGAAATTGTTCCACCTCCTATCCAAGACAACTGGCGAAGCGCACGCCATTGTTGCCAAAGCCCCGCTCACCAATGAGGGGTTCGTCGCAGCTTGGCAAAGCCTCACCGACCGCTTCGAGAACCGGCGGTTGTTGGTCAACAGCCAGTTGAAAATCCTCTTCAACATCCAGGCTGTCCCTCAAGAATCGGGAGTCGCGCTAAAAGACCTGCAAGGCACCATCCAAAGCTGCCTGACCGCCCTAGAGATGTCCTCCATTCAAGTTGAGGCTTGGGATAGTCTTTTGGTGTATATGGTTTCCTCAAAGCTTCCCGAAGTAACCCTTTCTCTGTGGGAACAATCCATCCACAACAAAGACAGAATTCCGACTTGGAAGGAGCTAGACGCGTTTCTGACCGAACGCCATCGTACGCTGGAGGCCATCGACGACGTTTCGCCTACCAACTCAAGGCATTTTCCGCCAGAGTTGTCGACTCCGAAGGCCCCAGCGCCCCGGCTCCATTCTTCCGACTTCAGAGTGACTCCAACACCCAGACCCAGAAGGTGTGACCTATGTTCCAGGGAAAACCATCCCCTGCGAAGATGTCCCCGTTTCCTTCAAATGACCGTAGTCGAGAGGTCAAATATCATCCGAAGAAAGCAACTCTGCTTGAATTGTTTGGCACGAGGCCATCAGCAGCGGGATTGCCCCAGTGCCCACTCCTGCCGTACATGCCGCAGACAGCATCACACCCTGCTGCATCCCAGAAGCTGTTCCTCCAGTGTTCAGATTGCTCCTGAACCTTCCAGCCCAGTAACCGCACCGATCCAAAGGATATCCGCGTTCTCCACGCGAATCACTTCTTCCAACGCCTTAAATTACTGGGTACCCTACGACATCAAGAGCAGACGTTCCCGAGGTATTTTATCCTACCCATGCCGAGTCTGCAGCGGAGTCCATCCGCTTCGAAAATGCCACAAGTTCCTTAGGCTTAGTGCTGAGAAGAGGCTCAGCGCGGTGTCCACCAACCGCTACTGTTCGAACTGTTTGGCCCACGAACATTCCCAGGGCAAGTGCCGCAGTGGTGACCGATGCAAGACGTGCAATCAGCATCACCACACGCTCCTGCATATGCCGGGAAGTCCAGTTCCCGCACCCCGATCGCAGCATCGGATGACTCCGTGCTTATTTACTGACCGCTCTTCTAAATGATACTTTTTTTCCAGTCCGCTTCGAGAAGATGCCACCGCTTCGCACCAAGCGAACGCTCTGATCAGAGGTCCAATCCAACCGATTCCGAGGTTGCCACCGAGCTTCATCCGCTTCCGACGTCGACGTCACCTCTAGGATCCTGCGCCTCTCCCCGCCCCTCCTCAGCCACTCCACGGCCTCCGTCCACCGCTACAGTCCGGTGCGCATAGGCAATTTCCGCCGCTAGCCAGGACCCCCTGCAGAACGCGGCAGTACTTATACAGGACGAATATGTTGCAACCCGAGTTGTTGCAAGGGGGGGAGAATGTTCACGTCAGAAGGCCCTTCGCTGCGGCCGCTGCGCCGCCTCTGTCCACCGAGCCTCCAAAGCTGTGGCCGCTCTTGCACTCCCGCAAGTCGGCTCTTCGCGCACTGCTTATCGGGCTAGTCTAAGCGCCCCCGCGCCCACTCTTCGATGTTCGCGAACGCCCGCTCCCGAGTTCCCGAGCTTCGCTCGCTGCTAAGCGAGCTGAGGGACGGCTAGTTCGCGCTCCACTTCTCGGGCCCGCTCTCGCACTGTTAAGCGTAGCTTATCGGTTGGGAGCGCAGCCCTTACATTTAAGCTATTTTAGTCTTATGTATGCAGCGCAATAAAGCTGACCATTTGATTTGCCCACGACGCCCCCGTCTTTTACTTTTCACCTTCGCTTGCGACGTGGGAATTTCCATTGGGCTACATTTAACAAGACAGGATCTTCAGCGGCAGGATCGCCCCCCTACAAACACTGTGCAAATTTTAATTGAATGCCTTTTGTTTGCCTCTGAATAATTTTCAGCAAAATGTTTGTTGTTAAATCGTTTGATGGGCACAAACAAAAAAAAAAAGAAGAAAAAAGGAGCGCAGGACACGCGCAGGATTTTGCACTCGTCGCGATAAACGGATAAAGCGCGAAAAACCACCGCAAAAACCTTTTGCAAGACCCGGAAAATGCAATTTGAACGGTTCGATACTAATTGGTTTATAGATTTTATTATGTTTTAATTATTTCAATAACAAATAAAAATATGTGCGCCTTTTGTTTTCATCAAAGTGGTGGGAAATGGTTATTAGTTTTTAGCTAATCCTTTGGTTGAATTTTTATTTGGAATTATGTTTGGGAGAGAGGAGTTTTTGCAGAGGAAATTTGTGTATTTATTTAATAAAATGTTTAGGAAAAATATTTAAAGGTAAACTGATCAGTGAGGTCTGGATTTTTTTAATTCAATACTGTAGTTTAATTTTGTATTTCCACTCGCAAACCTTGAACTCTCTAGGAGTTCATCTTCCTATCATCTTTCCAGACATTAATCAATCAAACTTTAATGCATGCTCAGCATCCATAACTAAGTTATTGATTAAATAAACATTTTAGCAAGAGGCAAGAAAGAAAAATAAAAACAACAACCTTAATTAAAAACCAAAAGAGTCCAAGGAGTCGCTGAAGTAAATAAATCTTTTAACGCGCGACACGAGACGCATTCAAAATGCTAAATTAGTAAAATGTCACTTTCGCTTTCAAGTCCATGGAGAGGGAGAGGGGGAAAATTCCCTGGCGGCATTGTTGTCGGCACCGATCAAAGCCACAAAATCCATCCAACGACGACGACGAAGATGCGGCAGCCACATAAATTATCACGGCCTAAGCAGGCGCAGACACTTGCCAAAAGTCTCGGCCAAAAAGGGGTAAAAACGGAGGAAAATGCCAGGCGATGCGAACTGGTGTCGTGCGAAATGTTCCACATGTGGCAAGAAATGCATTGACACACTTCAAAGGCTTTTCTTTTTCTATACTCAGGAGCCAGGGAGCCAGAAGCCTGAAAATACGTGGAAGTTTAATGACTGTATACACCTCGTTAAATTGTAATAATTTTTAATAAAATTACATCACTTTATAAAAAAAAAAAAAAATACAGCTCTGAACTTCAAGCATGCCCAAAAATATTCCTTTGGTATAAAAATGTATAAGTGTTTACAGAAATGTAATTTGATAAAAAATATCGGAAATTATGTTTAAATAATACTTTGAAATTGAGGAGATCTGCGAGGAAGCTGGAGAAACTCCGATTTGATTTTTGGTGGTGATGCTGGCAAGATCTCAATCTAAACCAGGAAAGATGAGTCCTTGGTGACGCTAAAGAAACTTCGGTTGGATTTTTGGTAGTTGTAAACGAAGCCAAGTGTTCTCCTTGATGGCCAGATCTCAATCTTATTTTGAAAAGAGGAATCCGTTGGAAATACTTCGCTTGGATGTTAATAAACAAAGCGAAGGGGTCTTTTTGGCGGCAAGATCTCAATCTTAATCAGAAAAGACGAATCCTTCAGGACGGATGGGAGCCTCTGAAGCTCGCAAAGGAGACCAAGGCATATCTAGGGCACACTCTGAATCTGAGTCTGGAGCTTGAGAAAACTTGAAACCCATCACCTGGGTTTTCATCATCTGACGCGACCAACGTGTCTCCTCTTCACGCCTCAAGTTTCTTGCAGTCTGGACAGAGATGGGGTCATTGGATCCCGGAAAGCGGTACCCGTCGAGGGCGATCCTGGCCCTCTCGGCATCCGCGGGTTGCCTGAAGCGCACATAGGCCACATTATGCTGTGGATACATCAAGCTGCTCGTCTTGTTGCGCAAAATCTTCACCGACCAGATTCCGCCGTAGTCTTGGAATAGGGTTTCCAGCAACATCTCGTTCACCTTCGCCGGCAGAAACCTAATATAAAGATTGCACTTGGCAGTGTCTCTACTGCGGGGCAGGGCGAAGGCCACCTTCAGGCGCTTGTTGCGCAACTGCAGTCCGTTTAAGAGGATTTCGGCCATTTTGGCACCGTTAGTACTTTCAAAATTGACGAACCCATAGCCAACACAAAGGCCAAAACCATCACGAACTATCTTGACACTACGAATACTCCCAAATGTGGAGAATATTTTGAGCAGCTCATCGTCCGTAGTATCTCTGGGAAGAAAATTTATGATGAGGTTCGTCGGGCGTGACTTAACGTGGAGATCGTCCAGCTCCGTGTTGATCCAATTTTCGGGGTTCTGCATGATTATCCTTTCGAAGAACTATAAAAAACTACAACAAATTGGCAAAAATAATAAAAAAATGCAGGAGCACACGTACGAATTCAGACGGAAGTGAAAAAAGAAAAAAAAACTTTATACTAGAGATGGTATTTCCTGTTGGCAGGCAGGAAGTCTGGCAACTTGGGCGAATAATCGATGGAAGAATATCGGTTACACTCAATTATAGCAGTATAGTTCAAACAAAAAATTAAGCAATAAAATACCAAATTATAGGGGGATTCAAATTATCGTAAGACCATTTATAAAAATGTTTCTGTAGAATGTATTTGGTAATGATAAAATTCAAAACAAAAACGTGTTATTTTTGGTCTGCCAATACCGGAAAATAATAGGTTCAAAAATATTTAGTAAAAAATACCAAGCATGCAACATTCAACTATGCCACGTCTGAAATATATTTAATAAATTATAATAAAAATAAAATATAATAACCAAAACCAAAACATGTACAGTCTCAATTCCACCTTAACCAAATCATATTTATGAGCTTACCAATTAAATAAATTTAAACATCATAAAATCGGTTAGCACAAACGATTTGTTTAACAACCTCTGTCCCCAAGGCAATCAGATAAATATTGTAAGTGTGAAAATGGTAAACTACCTTTTGGCTAACTAGGAAATTCACACACACACAATATTGAAAGAGAACTGGATGGCAATTTGAATTGTGTATCGATTCTCGTAAATATTGTCAATTTGGCCAGCGGATATCTCTGGCTAACTGGAACTGGATTTCGGCCAATAAAACCCGAGCTTGTGCATAAATCTTGAGCTGCTTTATCCAGCAAATCCCCGCTTAGAGCTCGTGTATCTCATGGATTGCTTCCTGTAGCAATTGCCAGCTAGTCTCATTCATAAATTTGTATAAAAGCTTAAGGAAAAATTAATTGCATGAATTTAGAAGATCAAAAACCAATAACTTATAAGTTAAAATAGATACATTTCTGTGTAAACTATATAACAGCCTCTTAAATTAATATTTAATCAAATACAAACCTATTTATTTATAAAGCCAAGAAAAGCCTAACCCATATACATACATACACATAAATGCAATACAAAATCCAATAAAAAATCCCCTCTTGACAGTTTCTGTTTTCAGTATCAACTTCAAATTGAATTCCGTGAGAGCCCCTTGGACATCTTTATTCCATCGTCGTGGACGTGACTGGGCCAGCTTTTTTCCACTTTTCCCCGATGTCCAATGTCCAGTGTTCCAAGTCCATCGTCAAGTCAATCAAACAAAAAGTTGGCTCTCTTGCTGCATTTCCATAAGTTAACTACCGTTCTGGCACTCTGAAACACATGTCACGCACTTCTCGAACAACTGGGAAAAGCTGGAAAAGCCCACGCCGCGGCAATTTCAACTGCACTTCACAGCTGCCTCAGAAGAGATCTCCGGTATCTGGAATATATATATATATAAAGAATATGTATATGTATAGGGGAAGTGAGCCGACGCTGGCAGAAAAGAAAAGTCGCCAGGCCATTCTGTAAGTGGAGCGAACAAAATAATCAAAATGGGAATAAAATCAAAACATTGCTGCGGCCAACTGGCAATTTGCATGCAAAGAACGAGCAGTGGACTGTAAAATAAAGAAGAGCAGATTTGTTGGCTTTAAAAAGGTTCTTATTTTTGTTTTATAAAATTATTAAACAAACTGATGTTATTTATTTGGATTGATGTATTTTTTACATACTGTGTATGCGCTTTATTATTATTAGTTAAGTTGGCTGCGCTTCCTCGATAGCTTTATTGTCTGATTAATGCAAGCTGTCAATTTCACACTAGACTATAGATAAATGGTATGCTTACACTTAAAAGTAAACACTACATATTGCATAAATCACAAACAAATTAATGTGCATTTGCCATTTGACCATCATAATTTAAGGTGAAAATCTTTGCCATACTAAAATTTAGTTATGAGAAAAATATATTCATTTATGAAATATATAAGAAAAGGCTGATATATTAAATTATCATTTTACTTAGCTATAATAAAGTACATGTATCATATGTGGGATAAATTTGTTAACACGAATTTGAATCATATGATGAAAGAAATAAATTAGATGGAATACATTCAGATATTTTTTGATAATAGTGATAATATCTATAAGAAAACATTATTTGTCATACATTTTGGTATATCATGGATGCATATATTTATTTTAAATTAAATTATTTATATTTATATGTTAAATTATTATTAAACTATAAGCTAGTAAAAATCCCACAACTCATCTCCGACTTGCAGGCTACTTGAAGACATCGCTGGAGGCGCCTCTTTGCAGCTGGGTTGCCGGTAGCTGGGAGCCAAGTGCTGGGGACTTGAAGAGGAGTTGAGTAGGAGAAGTGTGTGTTTGAAGACACTTGTTGGCTGCCCGCCAGCTGAACAAGACGATGATGATGATGATGACGATGATGATTGCAAATATTGCAACGATGATGACCGATGCGCGACCGACGACAGCACAACAAATGAACATTTAGACAAAGTTTGCAAGCAAAATGCCAGCGGCCTCCGCATCTATCTTTATGACCAAACCCACTCGGATTCAGAGTGGGACGAGATACGGACTACAGAGACCGGCAGGCAAGGCAGCTTTAATCAAGCGTCAAGTAATGGGGTTTAACAGGGAGATGGAAATTAAGCACCAAAAGGTACTGAATATAGGTTAAAAGAGTACCTAGAACTGTAGAAAATATCTTAGAATTTTGTTTACGAATTATTTAGAGGCTTAAATATTTTGTGATGCTAAGATATGTATTTATATAACGAAGTATATATCAATATAAATGCTGGAAAGTACTGGTAATTGTATTTTGAAATATTTACAGTCTTATATATATTTAAATAATACTTTTTCTAAAGTATTTCATAATATTTATAAATTTTTAATAGGGTATTTTATTTTTAAAGAAGCTTTTAGCATATTTGTTAGGTAAAACTTCTCTAAAAAGTACCCCACCAACACTACACCAATACACCATTAAATGTTCCCCATCCCTGGGCTCAGAGTGTGTGCGAAAAACTTAGCGTCTGACTTGAGTGACTTTGGTTAACTGGCCGTCAACGTTCCGCGTCGAGGATGTCATCGTGTTCATCACACAGGAGCAGGAGCAGCAATAACTGCGATTGCAATGACTCCTCCTGCTACTCCGCCTTCTCCAACTCCAGCTCCAACTCCAACTCCAATTGCCTTTGTTAAACGTTTGCCTGTCAGGCTCAGATTGGAGGTTTTTTTTGTTGGTGTTGTTGTAGCTTTTTTCAATTCAGAACGCCAGCTGGCAACCCTGGCCAGTTCCAAGCGATGAGTTGTTGAAAAGTTAAAATGGATTTTACGCAAAGTTTTTAATTTGCTGCTGTTATCCCACAAATCGTTCTATTCTCTCTTTTCTGCGTGTAATTATAATCTTTAATTTCTTGCTAGGAAAACTTCTTAATGATGCCCGAGCCATTTTGTTTTAGTGCGATCGCTTTTGTTATATGTATAAAAAATGATAAAAAATCGTTTGTTTTTCTTGGAAGTTGGAATTTGACAGAAAAATAAGCTTGTTTTCGAAATAAAATTATACTTGTTCCCCAAATATTCTTTTTAAATATATAAAAATATATGTAACATGTAATATTCTTTGCAATATTCAAAAAGTTATAGATTTTTAGTTTAATCTGTACATTAAATATGAATGAAAACTCATTAAAAACTTAACTCTCTTTCGAAATCTTAACACTTCCATGTTTCTATTATAAAACCCTGGTAACTTTACCTCTTTCTACAGTTTTTGCATTCAATTTTATCAGCTGGCGAATTTTTGCATTAAAAGTTACACAATGACTTTAAGGGACACCAGAGCCCACGCAACGCAGCTTTTGAGCCAAGTCACCAGAGCGACGTCTAGACTTTGGTAAACAAAAGACAAAAGCCATGCTTTTTGCTACCACTATTGATAAAGAACAAAAGATTCCGAAAAAAGGGAAACCAAAATAACCGAAAAAGTCGGTGGAGCTTAAACACAAATTTTTGGATTTGCAGTTTTCTAAATGATTTTATAGAAAATTGTTAACTAAACGAGTTTTTAAGGTTATTAAAAATAATTATTATGGCTTGTAGAGTTATTGTATATTTTATTTATAGTGCAAATAAATTTTAAAATATATATTTAGCTTTGTGAACCATTTCCCCATTGATATATAATCAATTCAACTCCCTATTTTTCAGTTAGTCATTCAATCTACTGACATTTCAGCCTGTCTTTCACTTGGAATGCTTAAGTATTCAGCAAGCAATTTGCAATTTATATTTGGTTAGCCAAGTTGTCAGGCGAAGCGGTTGCAACGTGAGACAATTGCAACAAGCGGCAGGCTCCCCACCGGTTGCAGGATGCGATGCACAAATTAGTTAAATTACACAGGCGCTTTGATTAGAAAAAGTGGCTTTGGCTGTTGCATCTTCTTCGTGGCATCTTGGGCATCCACCATCTCTCTTCTTCTGCAGCTTGCCACCTCTTTTTGGCTTGCCTGTATTTTCTTTGGCAGCTTTTGGCCGCTAACGAAGCTCAATTCGAGCGCCAAATTGAAATTGATTGTGACATTTGATCATGCGTTTGCCAGGCCTCTTCGAGAAAAACGAGAAGGCAATCGAGGGAACCGAAAGAGACAGCAGGAAATCCAGTTAAGGAAAAGAGACAGCAAATCGAGTTAAGTAAAAGAGACAGACAGAGCTTGTTGTCTTTGGAATTTGTGCGGAAAATTGCTGGAAACGTTAGGTAGGCGCGCACGCAGGTGTGTCTCAGTTTTCCTTCCACTTTTTGTTTCGGTTTCTTTTTTTTTTCCTAGCTCCAGACTTGATACGCACTGGATTAATTGGACGGATGTGCATTGGGTTGATGAGTTGAGCTTAGAGACAACTGGAGAAGACCGAGGAACTGGAGAAAGACCTGGAGGAGGTTCACCTGCCAGCTGGTGGGTCTTTCTGTCAGAGATTGACTTCAGTTTTTATTTTAAGCCAACGTAAAGACGGTGAAAAAAAATCGAAATTGCTTTTCCCATAAAGAAAAGAAATGGAATATGGTAATTTTAGACAGATGAGGCTATAAACTTGGCTAAAAAGAGAGGAAAAACCGTTGGGGTTTCATCGAAAAGGTTAATAAAGCTTTGGTGTTGATTAGAAAATATAGTATTAAAATTTCAGCTACTTACTAATTTGAACTAAGCTAACCCTCTGCATCCAAGTTCATCCCGTGGAAAGCATTCAACTCGGAAAACTCAACGCTTGGAGGCGAGGAAAATCCCCACATGAATAATTACGGCACACGCACAGTTCATTTAATTTCACTTGAAGGGGCATGAATGGTGGATGGTGGCATAAAACCCTTTCAGTATGAAAATATTTAATGAAGAAATTTATAAGAAACTTTTGCAGAAAATGGCAGCAGACTGTTGGATGGCGGGCGCTAAAAAATTATGAACATTAAATGCAAATTAAGCTAATCAATTAGGTCGGAATTGAGGCTTAAAATTAGCCACGCTTTTGGAAAAAGCAGAGAGAGGAAAATGGGGGTGGAGTTCTAATGATTTTATTGTTGGAGTAAGAATTATAAAAATAAAAAAATAGAAAATTTAGAATATAAAATGAATGAATAGAAAATATATAAAATAAAATAAAGAAACCCGTTTAGTTTCATAGTTATGTAGATAGATTTTTCAAAGAAGTATTTATTTTATTATGAAATATTCCTTGTGTATTCTTTTATATAAATACTATAAATATTATATCATAGATATATATTTTTTATACGTATATAGATATTTCCTGATATGTTATTTTATTCTCCAAAATTTTTCCCAGTGCTTTCAAGTTGAAAATACCCGCTAGTAGCGTCTTCTGGCCCATTTGCTGCCTGCTAACCCAATTAGCCAAAGGAAGGACTGACTCGCTTCACTCCCCAAACAACTCCCTTCTATAACTTAAGGATTCCCTCTGGCATCCAACTCCTCTCTATAAATGACCGACATTTAAATGGTGATCAATTGGGGAGTCCTGCAGGAACCTTACCCTCCCGAAAACCCTTTAAGTTCCTTCCCTAGTATCTGTTGCCATTGCATAGCTGAGTTAATGATTGGAAATTAATTTGTCAGCACCAAGGATTAGGAGGGAGGAGGAGTAGGGAGTGCGTGTAGGGGATTGTTCCTAGGGGATTACGCAATTGCGTAGACAAATTGCCGGCAATTAGCAGGGAGTCGGTGGAGTCACCCAAAGACGATGATGACGATGACGACAAAGGCATTGTCCCGACCGATTTCCATAGTTCAATTCAGGTGTAGGAGCTGAGGAGGTGAGCTCCACTTAACGGACAATGGCCATCGATCTGGGGAGTCATTGTATCGATAGGAATTGAGTACTAGATTAATTGTTAGTTGGGAATTTCTACAGGGAAATAAGTATTCAATGGGTAATGAATGAAGTAATGGATGAAGTAACATAGTTATCACCATGAGAGGTCATCAGTTTTATTGAAGTGTGTATGTAGTTTGTTGTAGTTTCTATGGGTTTTATTGGAGTAGTTTTGTGGTAGTTTTTATATGTTTCCATTCTGAAATATTTCTTAGAAAAACTACCGATCACAACTACATTCCTTTTCCCCCTTTTCAATGTAAACCCCTTTCTTGAAAACCCTCTCAAAAATACCAAATGTTCCCGCTAAACGAACCGAGAAAATTCCCAGCCATGAAAAACAATAAAAAGGCGTCACTTGCTGGCAAAAGCCTGAATGGGCCTAATCAAATTAAGTACTAATCCTTGAGAGAAAACCGCCAACAATTTAAAATGATTGTTAAGTAAATTTCCCAAAACAATTACCGCTGGTCTAGTGCACAAGCCACACTCGGAGAAAATCTGTGGCCAGGCGCATGCGCAGGCGTTGGAGAGTAGTCTCAAATATTTTAGCATGCGATAAATTTGTCACAGGACCAAGGACTCTTTCGGGACGCTTTGCATATGTGTAAAATTGTTAGTCAGATGGCCATTGAACAAGACAAGGCAACATTAATGAGTTGCCTGTTTTTGGACAGGTAAATGGGGGGAGAGGAGCCGGGGAGAAGGGGAAGCAACTTTTTGAAGTAACCGAAGGAAGGATAATCCACTTAGGAGTGCCTTTCGCTAGTATGCAATGTCCTAGCGACAATGATGGAGTTTACACAGGGAAAATAATTATTTAAAATGGTTAGTTAATTAAAAAGAAAGGAATTAAAATTATAAAAGAAAACCTAATAATTATACGGATTAAGAACCAACGGATTATAATTAAGTTATTTATATTTTAAAACTGCATACTATATATATAAATATCGAATTAAAATTACTAAGTACAAGAAAAGAAACTAACTACAGGAACCCGAAGTTTATATATTCTTGAAGTTTGCAATTGATATATAAGATCGTATCGAAAATCGAGCTTAACATACATTCTGTTAGTCGATATTTAAGCATATTTTTATATGACAATTTATTCGACAAATTAAAGTTAAAAGAAAGGCATAACTAAGCCAAAAAAGCATCAATTTTAATTCAGAAACCTGTCCTATGTTAGTTTTAATTACGGTAATTAATCTGTATACTCAAATAAAATTTTTTAAAAATTTAAATTTTTGTTGATCTTTTTTCTTCTAATTTTACGAAAAATTTTGAAAAAAATGAAGTAAAATTTTTTTCTGCCAAATAATAGCTAGAACGACTCGTCTGTTGATGCTGATCAAGAATATATATGATTTATAGGGTCGGAAATGACTCCTTCATAGAGTTTTAAGCTTTTGACTGAAATTATAATACCTTGAATGGGTATTTAACAAAAATATCACAATCCTATATTAAATAGGATATATTTCGGTATAAATATATTTAAAACGCGATAAATATTTATGGCATATAATAACTTCAAATGCTTTACATTTATAAGCTTTGGGTGCTTATAAATTAATTTAAACAACATTATAAAAATATCTATTCATGTTGTTTAATACATTTTTTTCATGTGCATTCTTGGAACATTGTGGAGAAATTGTTTTATTATCCCAAAGCGAAGCCGTTGAGTATGTGTTGACTGAAAACAAAGGTGCGCACAATAAATTACATTGTTACACGGAAACTTACGAGCAGGACATGGACAAGGACACACGTGAGTATGTGGAAAGCGACTAAGAGAAAGAGAGAGAGAGAGAAATAGAGGTCCTGGCAGGAAGTCAGCAACAAGCGTCGCGTTAATGAAAAGGATTTCTCTGGCATCTGCAGACATGTTAGTTCTCTCTCTCACTCCCTGGGTTATTTAATATTTAAACTACGGCCAGACAGAGTGGCGGTGATGATAGGATAGGATACGGATAGTCCTGTCTTTGATGTCCTCGACCCATTAGTTGAGGTCTCAACTTTTGCATAAATAAACGCCTCAGTTCATTAGTGAGTCTCGCCTTTCCCGATTTCCTCAATTGCGAAAAGGGTTTTGCGTGGGGGTTCCCCTTTTGTGGCTTTCCCTTCAGCCATCGGTTGTGTTTTTCGGTTGATGTGGTTGGCTTTTTGGGGGACCCAAAATGCGTGAAAGTGTCATAAGCTACCGGCTTGCAAAAAGGGAAAGACTTTATGACTGGGATCAGACCGCAGATACATCTGGGAATAGTTGAGATTCTTGCGGTTTCTGCTTGAAAATTTAATGATTTTTTAATCGATTTTGGCAAAGAGAACTTGGCTAGCCTACCAGGAAGTGTTTTAATTAATAAATAATGAGTAACTAAATATATATTTTCTAGCTTTCCTTAAATACATTCCTTTCCAAAACCCATTCAAGTAGCCCTTGAAACACTTTTAACTCAAAAGTCATATAAATTTGTAGGTCAAAATTCTACCTAGGCCTCTCACCTGGTTTCCCCCATTGCTCGTAATTGTTTTGATCCTGACTGAGTTCTCCTTCCCCAATTTACCAATGGGTTCCGTGGTCAGTTCTATGCAACGGCCCCATCTTATGGTGAGCATGGAGAGTTCGCAGGCGAATTTTGTTCGCGAAATGATTGCCAACAACAAGGTGGTGATCTTTAGCAAGACTTACTGTCCGTACTCCAGCATGGCCAAGGAGCAGTTTCGCAAGTTGGATGTTAAGCCCATTGTCGTGGAACTGGACTTGCGGGAAGATTGCAGCGAGATTCAGGCGGTGCTGGGCAGGATGACGGGGGCCAAGACCGTGCCCAGATGCTTCATAGATGGCAAGTTCGTGGGTGGCGGCACCGATGTGAAGCGTCTCTTCGACCAGGGCATCCTGCAAAAGTATTTCAAGTGATTATATTCGATTTTAAGTTTTTTTTTTGGCACAAATAAAAAAACGTCTGGAGTCCTTTAAGAAAATAGTTTAATAGTAAAGAACTCAATCTAATCTATACAGAATATTCATAATTTTCTCCTGTAATGACAAGGATAATACCATCAGGAGAAGGTGGATATATACCAACTGCCTTTTATTCGCTCAATATGACGCTTAAGTTTTTCCTGAAAGGGATTCCAGTTGTCTGTGGGTGGGCGGAGAAAACAATTAAGGAGCGAATCCTGCTGCCTTTTCACCTGCAGTCAGAGCATTCAGGCAGTTCTTTTCCATTGTTATCCTGCTTCCGTTATCCCCTTTTCCCCATTTGCATATGGAAAAACTGAAAGGCAGGCATCATCATTTTCATCGTCGTCGTGAGGAGAGGTCAAGGCTCTCAGCATTAAACTTGCAGGAGGCCATCGAACAATTCACAAAGGACTCACAGTACACACACATTTCCATATTTTATCCCATATGGGGGGATAATATATCTCAGCAGGTTCTCAATACTATATAGCAGGGGAATTTTCAAGCTTAAATTGATTGAAAGTTAAACTCAGCTCCAAATTGCTTGTAATTTGCTCAGCAAATTGTTTTCTTCGTTGATTTTTTCTGTGTTTTTGTTCAAATTGACTTTAACAATGTCGAATTTGAGTTAACTGTCACACGCGAGAATTGTTTTGGAAAATAACCGAGCAGGTGTGCACAGCGAGTACTACAGGTAAACGAATGAAAAATACCACGGCACACGTGTCGTATGCGTAATTTGGCTCATCGATTCCTTGTTTTTTTTGGGCTTAAATTTTGCGTAGGCCGTTTGGAAAAAGGATTGATTATGGAAATTGGCGAGTAATCAGATCTTAACCCGGTTGGAGTTTGATTTTTGGTTTTATTGAAAGTGACTTGATTTGACGCTTTTTTTAATAAGAAATTATTGGTGATGATTTCAGTTGAGAACAATCCAAGGGAATGGTTTTATTTTTACTCGCAGATAGCATAAACTTTATGGGCAAGCTAAAGTGTTAAAACTAACCTTTAAAAGGGAATGGAACTTCCTGGACAATGTTGCTTAAATATACATTTTTCTTGTCTGACTTATCAAGCATGGAAACTAGTTATGGCTGCCAACACGCAGCATTTACAACTGCAATGGAATGGAAATTTTTTTTACGAGCCCCTGAACGCTGAGCTGTAATTTTTTCCCCTTTTTTTCGCTTTAACACACACAAAAAAAAGATGTGTTGCAGTGGCATATAACTTTGTTTTAATTTGTTGGCAGAATGAATGCAATTGCCACCGGACAAAGAGACTGTTGTCAGAGTGGGGGGAATCCGCCGACTAACTCAATAAAAAATGCATTTGGCATTTTGATTGCGATACTATCCAGTGTGTGAGTGCTGGGCAACATTGTCTCCCTTTTGCTTTGGCTTTAATCTCATTTGGGCCAGACATTTTTTTAATGGCCAACGACGCCACTCAATCTATCCCATTTAGCAGCGTGTCAAGTTCTATAAAGCGCAAAAATACTTGCGAATTTATTACAATTTTTCCCCTCTATCTTTGACCAGAGACGGAGTTGTGTGCGGCTTTGAATAGTTTTCCCGTGGCTGCACCCAGACTATGTCAGACTTCTCCATCCATATATCATATAGTTTTCCCCGGGAAAACTCCGCCTGTGTGTGTGTGCATGTGCAGCAGCGACTCCTCCTTCGCCTTTGATGAACGATTTATTAAGCGTTTTATTATTAGTTTTCTCGTTCGGTGGCTTTTGTGGCATTTTTGATTACAAAATTCCATCCAAGTCTTGCTTGTAATTACCAAAAAATGACCGAAAAAATTTCTGTATGGTTATCCCATTATTGGAGATTCTTTTGGCGGCTGAACAGAGATAGATGGGAGTTTAGAATGTGTTTTGGATTGGCTTTTAAGCTTGAAAATTTAGAGTTAAAGTAGGGAATGGTAAAGTTGAGACTTTGAAAATTTACTTTGAAGGTAATAATATTTTAGAAAAGTTATTCTAAACATGTATGATTATTTTCTTATAGTTAAACTATTCAAAGAGTTAAAATTATTGAAATTTCCATTACCTTTTATATGTTTTTATGATATATTTCGTTAAACTTTTGAGCAGTTTCCCAGATAATGTCATTAAATGATTATATTCATATTTTTTACTTTATTATAAATAGTTTCTGTCACATCAGTCTTGAATTACTGGTCTCTCCTCTGGCTTTTCTATAGCTTTCAACATCGGTGGGGTGAACGTGTTAAAATTTCTCAAAACGACACTTGCACGTAACATGTCATGCCAACATATAATTATATTATTGCTGTTATTTCTTTGTTTTTACACATGCCAACCCATAACATCCCACACACTCTGGTGACTTTGAGCCAGGTTCAGGTCTCAGTTTTTGGCCATGGCCATGCAACTAAGATTTTTGAGCGCCGATAAACTTTTGTTGGCGAAAAGGGGAATGAATTTACACAGGAAATTATATATTTATATTTAAATTTAATCAAAGAATATGCTAGAATTTTCCTAATGTTTTTATTAGCTTCTGATATTTAGGTTTTTGTACAATTAGATACTTTTAAATTATATGAAAATATAAAATTCTCCCCCTGATTTTCCGCAGTACACTGCAACAGAAAAAAGCCCAGAAACAATGGGTAAGGCAACGCACGTGTTAACAAGGATGCGATAAAGGAAAAAAAAATATATATAGGAGTAGTGGAAGTGAGGAAATAAACGCTAGAATGACAGGAAATATGTGTGCGTGACATTGTTACTTGGTCCTGCCAACCGGAACTGAAAGTGCGCAGGGTGTGAGCGGCCATTGTTGGGGAAGCACGAAAGCAACAGGATATGTGTATATATAATTATATAGAATATGCCAGCCAGTTAAGGAATGCCTGACAGAATTGATACAACAACGAAAATAAAATGATAAAACAAAGTAAGCTCAAATGCATTAAAGTGCATTATGGTAGGGGTTGAAAATCATTTAAATTGAGTAAAATATTTATTTTATATTTTATGCATCAGTTTTATTTATAACTCTCACATATTTTGTAGCAATATTTAAACCTACCGCGTAGCCATAAATTTTGTATCAAAAGATAAAGTTGCAGTTGCCAAAGTTTGTCACCAACTTTGTCAGTTTTTGGAATTCCCCGATGGGATCATCGCCCCTTAGCTTCTCCCACTCACGTCCATTTCGGGTAATTTGATACCTTGCGATAGCGTTTTAGCTAAAACTTCACAACTTTTGGGAGCCATTAATCAATTAATTAAGTATTTTATGAATATTTTAAGGCATCTTCACAATCGTTTGGCCATCATCAGAGGCAGCAATGGAAATGGACCTTTTCCCGGTAGGAAAAGGAGTTTACTGCATGAATATTTTAAGGAAGTGTTCCAAACTCATACACACACCAGACCAGGGAATAAGATGAGGATTTTTGCCGGCATAATCGTGCCGAGACGAGATAATAAGTTGAGGCCGCGAAGAAAGGGATAATGAGTTTGCTTCCAGGGAGTCGACTTGATGAACAGCCCCAGTTAAGCTAACTTTCCCGAGGAATAAGCAATAAGGAGGGCTGCGAAAAAAAAACTTTCCGACTAATTAATTAAATGCGCTATAAAAATGTTTGCCGGCAAAAAGAGAGTTGAAGCAGGGAAAATTCCCCGGAAAAATGGCGGCAAAGAGAGTGCACGGCAAATGTTTAAGTTATTCGAAAATGTTTTCTCAAAAAATTATGCAGGTGGCACAATGAAAAAAAAGTTCCCGCTGTATTGACATTTCTTCCTATTTTTTTTTTTTTTTGTCGTTTTTTGTTGTTCCTTTTTATCATGATAAGGAAAAGTTTTTAATGAGTTTGCCAAATGCCTTGGAACAAACTCGACTCGAGATGATTTGTGTGTTGGCATTGCAAAGTTTTGCCTTTGTCATGGATTAATTTATTAGAATTTTTGCTGGTTAAAAAACATTAAAAATCTACCTTTATTTTATATAATGATAAGCAGAGGGAATGATGTATTTATACAGGAATTAAGGGTGGGCTTAAATATATCTTATACTTAAGATATATCTTATATAAAGAAATTCCTCTTATTTCACCTAAAAAATTAAAGCAAATCTAACAGAAGCAGGTCTTGTCTTGCTTTTTGAATTGTTCCCCTGTCATGGAGAATCCTGTTCCATGGCAAACATCCTTGAAGCGATTCAAGTGTCTGACGCAGGTCTCTTACCTCAATTTCCACAGCTTACTCCTACATATTACTCTGTACAATCGCTCATTTGTCAACATCCTTCACAATAGCTGTCAATGGCAAGCGCAACTCGAAGGGGGCATGCCCCCAAAATGTATGGGGAACCCCCCATAGGAATCCATGTGTGCACACATTAATGGTCAATTTCATTTCGATTTGATTGTACAGGATTGTATACTCCATATATGTAGCTATGTACCTAAGTCTGGGTATGCCGGAGAAGAGTAAACGCAGAAGCAGCCTCCTGTGGAGCACGTTAAATGCCCGTTCCTGGGCACCGCCTTTAACCGAAGGACCTCATGTGGGTTTTGTCAAATTAGCGCATCGTTTGTTGTGTATTCCTTGGGGCTTGCACTGGCTGTTCCAAGGCAAAAACTTGTTAATTTTAAGTCGTAATGCCTGGGCCTGGGCCAGGGCCAGACTTTGGCTGGCTGGCCATTTCCTTGCCTGCTTGCCACTTGGCTTCAAGTGGTTCGCAGTGGGGTTCATTTGCAGTCATTACAAAAGATGGGTATGCAAATTAAATAATTTCACTGAGGGAAATAATGGGGGTTTCTCTAGAAAATATATTACCTGGCGGGAATTTTAGTAGACAAAATATATAAATCTTTTCCTTTTTAACCTATTAGTTGTAGTCAACAAAAAGGAAAAGGCTCTCTGCTCACAATTGCTTGAACTTAGCAGGCAAAGTGTGAAAGGAAAAGCATGATAGATAAAAAGAGATAATGCTGATTGTTTTTACTAACGACCAAAAATCGCAGTCCTTGAAACAGAACCACGAACATCAAACTTCAATTACCAATGCCCAGTGGTGGAATGATGGAATTTTTACTCCCATCTGCCATCTTGTATCTATATAGCCTCCCTACATCCTACATCCTGCATCCCTCTCCCATAGCTAAGCTTCGAACAAACACCGATGGCATCCAATGGACGAGCCGTTACAATTCATCAAACAAGCGAATGGATATTACTTCATCGAGTGCTATATTAAATACTTGAACCAAGCGAACGAACAACGAACGAAATTGTCAACGGAACAGCAATCGAAACGACCTCAAAAAAGGGGGACCCCCTGGGGGAGGCAGAGGGACCATGGCTTTGCTGCGAGCTTGAAACAAAAGTAAATTGCAGTAAAAGTTTTGTAATTGACAAACGGACAACAAACAAAACTCCACTCCAGTTCAGTTGCTGGACAGAAGCTCGGCCAGCGAATGGCGGGGATGTGGTTATGGGGGTGAAGCGACTCATGTTGGGCTTCAGGGGGTTAAGGGAACACAACACTGAAGCACTAAAGTCTGTCCTCCTGTCGGCAGCTAAACAACTGGCGTTGGCATCAACAAAAACCGATTTTCCAAAAAAGCAGGAAGCGGCCAGAGTAGAGGCCCAGTTTGGGGAATGTTATCAATACGCTGAGAGAAACGAAAGCTCTTTAAATTGTTGTTTAGAAATATTGAAATATAAAATTTAGCTTGGCACTTGAATTTATTGAAACTTTGATAAGCATTTTCTTTATTTCGTAATTATTAATTATAAAATGTAAAGACTCTGAAGTACTTGTATATTTTTTAACTGTTGATGAATGTTGAATTTGGTCAGTAAGCAGCTATAAATCCATGGCTGTCTCTAGTCTCTGATACTGCTTTGTTAGTTTTTTATCTTCAAGGTTCGATTATTTTACTAGATTTTAATAAATGGCTTATTTTTTATCCTTAAAAATCGTATAATTTTCTTTCAGTGTCATTATCCACCTCGCCCCCCTTTTTGCGTCGCCTGTCTCATCATTTCGTACATTTGCGCCCGCATATTGACTTTGTGCGAAGCGAGGCGAGGCGCACAAACGATTCACGGATTTAAGAAATAAAAGTTTAGTGCTCCGGCGAGCAAATCTGTAGCCACCAATGCCAAAACAGCCCCAGACTGTGGCACACACAGGACGCAGGACATGGACATTCTAGGAGGAGAGGCTGCCCTCTGTCAAAGCAAACAAAAGACGCGTCTGTGGTCCTTTGCTACCCCTACCGAATAACCACACTCGGCGCCATTGCCCCTGAACCACCCACTTTGCCTCCAGCTGTCGAACGCAAAATGTCAATGCACTGAAACAAAAGTATACAAAATGTGCGGTAATTGGATATTAGGAATTTACAATTAAATATACAGCTCAAAGCATAAAAGAATTCTATAAATATAAAGCTAATGATTATCTTGATACCTATCTTAAGATTATTTTACTTTTAATTGAATAGAACAGAATAGAATTAGAATATAGGCTTGATAGTTGCCTCAGTTATTTTTCACACTGCATTTGTCCTGAAGCCTCTGACTTGTTGGATGTCAGTGACAGTATCTGGGATCCAAATCGGAATCGCAATCGGAATAGGAACAGGCGAATGCAGGAATTCACTGAGCTGCAGGGCTCATTGGGCACGAGTAAATAGACATTCGCGATGTGGCCTAAAGCCAAGGAAATATTAAGCTGAAAGGGAGAGTGAAGAGAAGATCAAAATCATAGCTCTTAAAAACATAAGCCTTAAATCTAAAATAATATTTATACCCTTTTAATTTTGTTCAGTAGCTTAACTCTGTGAAAGAGTCGTTTCCGACCCCATAAATTATATATATTCTTGATCAGCATAAACAGGAGAATTTTTCTAGCTATCTACGGACGAAAAAAAAATTGTCAAAATTTTTCCTATTTTTTTTTTAGAAAAATTTGTCAAAAAATTGACAAAAAATTTAAAATTTTTTAAATTTTAAACTGAGTATGTAGATTTATTATTTATATCAAACCTAGCTTACGACTGCTTTCCGAATTGAAATTAATGCTTTTTTGGCCAAGTTATAATATTTTTAAGCTGTGATTTAATGGAATAGTTGTCATATAAAAAAATGGAAAATGTCGATTCAAAGTATATTTGTATTTTTATTTTTAAGCTTATTTATAAAATATGTTTCTATACTATATAATATCTTTTATAAGAACTAATAAAATATATATATTTTCATTTAAATTATCTTTCACGTGAAATTAACCTACTGAACCACATTCCTTGTGTTTTTTGCCAAAACTAAAGGAAAAATATAATGAAAATGCAATTTAAAACAATTTGTCAACGTCCCCCAAGAACCGGACAGAGCTCTGAATCCGCACAGGAAACACACAGAAAGAGACAGATAAGGAAAGAGAGTACGAGAGAAAACCGAAAATGTGAAAATGAAAATAATAATGAAAGAATGAATTATGAACTTATGCGCGCCAGACCCGAAGGACCTTGCACTATGTCCCGACCCCCAACATCCACCCCACACTTTTTTGTGTGGAACGTGAGAGGAAAGCGAATATTATGTGGCATAAAAATGATTGTGTATGTTAAGTTTGGCACGCGCCACGCCTACAATAAACCGCAGGAGTCGCCCAAGATGGAGATAGAGTGCCCACAAAAGTATGCTACATATTTCACAGTTTGAGGCAGATGGCGAAAAGGACAAAACAGACCCCAGGGAGAGACTGTGGCCACGCCGCTGTCACCACACTCTCACGCCCACACCGCAATCGAAAAGCGTGACTGTTGGCCAGAGTCACAGGATCTGAGAAGTGTCCCCGAAGTAAGATCTCAAAGGAGCTACTTAAAGGGTATATATATATTTGTAGTGTTTGGTAATCAAACCTAATCGGAAACTAGCATAGAAAATTGTGAAAGATTAATTTAATATAGTTTTTTTTACGCAAGCGGAAAGTGTTCTTTTGACATTCGCAAAGCCATCAAATTTTCTTAGTTTGGTTGCGTGAAATTAGTCATTGGATTAGCTTAATGGCTTATTTAAGGGTTTATAAATTCAACATTATATAACATTTCTGGTTCTGGTTTCTGGATTTATAATAATAGTATAAATAATATAAATTATTGAAGTATTAAATAAACTAGTCTTAATAACTAAAGGTTCAACCCAAAGTAACTGCCATAAAACAAATAGAGTTAACATAATGCTCAGAGAAAACCCATCTTGATATAAAGAGTCTATTTTATATCTCGACAAAGAAATTCCTAAAGTTCTTTAAATATAAAGCATTCAAAACTTGTCTACTCTCTCCGTGACATGTTTATTGCGATTTCATGTTCCATTAAACCCGGCAGATGGAATGAAGGACTGAGTCAGTGAAACTGCCTGCTAATCTGTTGATAAAAAACAGAGAGCCCAACTTGATGGCTTCATATCAACCAAGAATGTACTGTACAAAAAACAATGCGATAGAAAATGAATTCAATAATAGGCATTTTATTATGAGACTTAAAAAGATATTTTATGTCTTTTTCCCTATTACAAACAAGTATGTGTTTGCATGTAATATATTTTTGTTTAACTATTTCTAAAAAATTAAACATTTTTAATCAAAGTATTAGTATTCTTTTAGTGTACAGTCAACTGTCATTGACAAATGTCAAAACATTTTTACCTGTGCCATGGCCACACTTTTTCGCCACATCCCGTCGCCATTTTCGGATGCTGATCACGTCTCGCTCACACGCAAATGTGACCAGAGCCATGAGAGCTGCCATTGTTGTTTTTGTCATTCATCACATTGCGTGGGGGGATGGTGGTGTGTGTGGGGGAGTTATGTAAATAAAGAATTGTCACTTTGACACGTCGAGTGCGTGCCGATTTCGTCTAGTTTCGTTTCGCTCTGTCATCACTTTGCATTTATCTCCGCCCCATTTCCGTATTTTTATTCGATTCATATATATTCATTGCAAGTATAATGTCGGCTATCAAAGTATTCAGACCTTAGGCACACGTGGAGGGTAAAAAATAAACTTGTTCATCTAGAAGAAGATTTTTAGCTCATAAATTAAAAGATCCGAATTTAAAGGTAAAAACTACATAGTATATTTAAGGATGTGCAATCCTTACTATTATAATATTGTTTATATAAATGTGTCCTTACAATCTTACTAAATCTTACTACTATTAATGTTAGACCGAATCCAATGCCATTTTCTAAGCTCAATTAAAAGAAAAAAAATGCCAAAGGCCATTTTCCGCTTACGTAAAGTAATGGTTGCAATATATTTAAAGCATTTACAACATTTTTTCGCTTAGACTTTGAACAGACTCCTCTTGATCAAGATGGGTATTCCCTGGTTCTTAACTCTATTCATTCTTTGGCAATTTGTTTTACCTTCAATCGCTGTAAGTAATTAAGAATTGAATATAACAAATAATGTTTAATAATATTATTATAAATTATATTTGAAATCATACAGGATATCAATACCAATGATAATCGTGTAAATATAAATAAGCCTAATGGTGCACCTGGAGAAGCACCAGCTCCAGTAGGAGCAGCACCACCACCACCACCTCCACCACCACCACCACCACCACCACCACCACCACCGCCACCACCACCACCACCACCTCCAGCTCCAGCTCCAGCTCCAGCTCCAGCTCCAGCTCCAGCTCCAGCTCCAGCTCCAGCTCCAGCTCCAAATGCAGGTTCTGGTGGAGATGCGTCAGGTTCATTGCGACGCACCTTGATCCCACCAATTCCCAAATTTGTAAGTGTATTTTTTTACTTTTTTTATCACAGTGAACTCTTTTAATTTAGCTATCTCAAAATTAATATTCGTTTATTTCAGACAAGATCCCCAGTAGTATTTTAACCATCTCGTCTAAGACCATGGGAAGAGAATAAGCAGAAAGCTTATATCTAAATAGATATTTAAAACATGTAAAATAGTTTCCATTTGCTATTTGAACAGAGCTGTAAATAAATGTGTTGTTTAGTCTTGGTCATAATCAACGCGTGCCTTTTCCTCTGATGTGGTGCCGGGTCGGGATATGCAAAAACATATTTTAATTTTATGCAAATTATATGCTGATTATGCTGTCAGCATTTCCAGAGGCTTGTTGGGGCAGAGGGGTACATACATGTGGCAAAATGAAATGCCAGTCCGCTCTCTTGTGGTTCTTGCTTAATCATTTCACATTTTATAACATTTTATATGGTAATATATGGTAATTGTTGCTCGCTGGATGTGCCTTTGGCATGCAAATGTTCCACCGATTGCATGTTGACCATTGGTTGTTTGCAAAACAGTTGCTATTGTGATTGGTAAATGTCCTTCCTCTCCTGCTCTTGCCGCATGCCACAAGTCCATTGAATTGATTGGTTTTGGTCTATAAAGTGTGTGTTGGCAAGCGACTTTGCGGTTTAATAATTCCAACTTGGCTAACTGATGCCAATGCTTTAGACTTTATAATTATTAACTAATAGAGAAAACATTAATTTGTCTAAATCAATTTTCTTTTAATTAAACACTTAAGATTAGATTAGAATAGATAACTACAGAGACAAATTGCAAACTCTTTCAAGGTTGTATTATATAGATAATATATGTAAGATATAGAAAATGATATTGAGATCATGACTATAAATTAATTCGAAGCTGTTCTTTTCATTGGAAGGATTTATTTATTTAGCATAAAAGGGTAAAGAGTTTAAATCTATTATATAATGTATTTTTTTGTATTTAAATGCATAATTACATCATTTAGCCTATCCAATGACAATTTTTACGCCAATAAGCTAAAATCTTACGGTGGATTAGCAAATGTTAAAGGGACACTTTTCGCTTATGTAAGAAATATATTAAATTAATCCAACCCTATTTGCTACGTTAGTTTCCGAGTAGCTTCTCATCGAGCAGGATGGGTATTCCTTGGTTACTACTATTATGTGTTCCCTGGCAATTCGCAAGTCCTCAATACCAAAATGTAAGACATAATAGTTAATTTTCCTTATTATATTACTTATAATATTTAATAGGTCGCCAAGGAGTCGACATTGTTTCTACCTGATGTAGAACATTTGATGTCTGATCACCAAGAAGTTACAAATGTAAGCAACTTAGGATAGTAAATGTTCCACTGCATATTATAACTTTCCATTTCGGTATCTCTACAAGGATTCGGATTTCGTTATACCTCATATAGAAAATAGGAGGAATATTCCTTTTAATGCCAATAAGGAGAATGCTATCCTAACAGCAATTGAAAAAATTTTGGACATCAAACCGGTACAGTCTGAATTAATGATATTATACTATATATAACAAAGATAATTATTATGCATCCTTTACAGACTAAACGACATATGTCTGCTCGCACAGAAAACACCAATACGAATCTTATAAAAATACCAAATATTGATTTAACATTGGATAAAGGGAAGGTATTGTCTGAATTACTGATTTTCTATTTAATATTACTAACAAGTGCTATACATATTTTATAGAAACCAGTTCCAAGTCCTCCTTCACCTGTGAATCCTATTCCAGGCTTACCAACTGATATTATTCCGCCAAAAATTGAAGGGTCTGGTCTACCAAAAATTGGAGGCATTCCGGTAAAGTCTGATATTAATATTAATATAATATAAGATAAGTACTCAACATCCTTTAAAGGTTCCACCACCAATTCATCCAATTCAACCTGTGTTTACCAGTCCACTAAACCCAAATCCTGGCCTTTCAACTGGAGGAGTTCCGGTAAAGTCTGATATTAATTTGAATATAATATAAAATAAATATTCTACTTCTCCTAAAGATTCCAGCACCAGGTTCTCCAAGTCAACCTGGAAATACAAATCCGGGGTATCCTAAACCTGGCTCACCAAGTGCATCGCCCGGAGCTTTTCCGGTAAAGTCTTACTTTATGATTTGTATTTGAATATAATATAAGCAATCTTCTACGATCTTTAAAGGTTCCAGCTCCAAGTTCGCCTGGCTTGCCTACGATAAATAATGAAGGTGTTCTGGTAAAATCTGATTGTCTGATTTGAATTTCAATATAATCTAGGAAATCTTCTAAATTCTTTATAGGTTCCAGCACCAAGTTCTCCAAGTCAACCCGGGAATAAAAATCCGGGGTATCCTAAACCTGGATCACCAAGTGTATTGCCTGGAGGTGTTCCGGTAAAGTCTTATTTTTTGATTTGAATTTCAAAATAATATAAGTAATCTTCTACATTCTTTAAAGGTTCAAGCTCCAAGTTCACCTGGCTTACCTTCAATAAATAATGAAGGTGTTCTGGTAAAATTTGATTTTTTGATTTGAATTTCAATATAATCTAAGAACTCTTCTACATCCTTTAAAGGTTCCAGCACCAAGCTCTCCAAGGCAACCTGGGAATACAAATCCGGTGTATCCCAGTCCTGGCCAACCAAGTACATCGCCTGGATTTGTTCCGGTAAAGTCTGATTATTTGATTTGAATTTCAATATAATCTGAGAAATCTTCTACATCCTTTAAAGGTTCCAGCACCAAGTTCTCCAAGTCAACCTGGAAATATAATTCCGTGGTATCCCAGTCCTGGCCAACCAAGTACATCTCCTGGAGGTGTTCTGGTAAAGTCTGACTTTCTGATTTGAATTTCAATATAATCTAAGAAATCTTCTACATCCTTTAAAGGTTCCAGCACCAAGCTCTCCAAGGCAACCTGGGAATACAAATCCGGGGTATCCCAGTCCTGGCCAACCAAGTACATCGCCTGGAGGTCTTCCGGTAAAGTCTGATTTTTTGATTTGAATTTAAATATAATCTAAGAAATCTTTTACATCTTTTATAGGTTCCAGCACCAAGTTCTCCAGGTCAACCTGGGAATACAAATCCGGGGTATCCCAGTCCTGGCCAACCAAGTACATCTCCTGGAGGTGTTCTGGTAAAGTCTGACTTTCTAAATTGAATTTCAATATAATCTAAGAAATCTTCTACATCCTTTAAAGGTTCCAGCACCAAGTTCTCCAAGTCAACCTGGGAATATAATTCCGGGGTATCCCAGTCCTGGTCAACCAAGTACATCTCCTGGAGGTGTTCTGGTAAAGTCTGACTTTCTGATTTGAATTTCAATATAATCTAAGAAATCTTCTACATCCTTTAAAGGTTCCAGCACCAAGTTCTCCAAGTCAACCTGGGAATACAAATCCGGTGTATCCCAGTCCTGGCCAACCAAGTACATCGCCTGGATTTGTTCCGGTAAAGTCTGATTTTCTGATTTGAATTTCAATATAATCTAAGAAATCTTCTACATCCTTTAAAGGTTCCAGCACCAAGTTCTCCAGGTCAACCTGGGAATATAAATCCGGGGTATCCTAAACCTGGCCAACCAAGTACATCTCCTGGAGGTGTTCTGGTAAAGTCTGATTTTCTGATTTGAATTTCAATATAATCTAAGAAATCTTCTACATCCTTTAAAGGTTCCAGCACCAAGTTCTCCAGGTCAACCTGGGAATACAAATCCGGGGTATCCCAGTCCTGGCCAACCAAGTACATCTCCTGGAGGTGTTCTGGTAAAGTCTGACTTTCTAAATTGAGTTTCAATATAATCTAAGAAATCTTCTACATCCTTTAAAGGTTCCAGCACCAAGTTCTCCAAGTCAACCTGGGAATACAAATCCGGTGTATCCCAGTCCTGGCCAACCAAGTACATCGCCTGGATTTGTTCCGGTAAAGTCTGATTTTCTGATTTGAATTTCAATATAATCTAAGAAATCTTCTACATCCTTTAAAGGTTCCAGCACCAAGTTCTCCAGGTCAACCTGGGAATACAAATCCGGGGTATCCCAGTCCTGGTCAACCAAGTACATCTCCTGGAGGTGTTCCGGTAAAGTCTGATTTTTTTTTGAATGTCAATATAATCTAAGAAATCTTCTACATCCTTTAAAGGTTCCAGCACCAAGCTCTCCAAGTCAACCTTGGATTATAAATTCGGGGTATCCTAAACCTGGCCAACCAAGTACATCGCCTGAATTTGTTCCGGTAAAGTCTGATTATTTGATTTGAATTTCAATATAATCTTAGAAATCTTCTACATCCTTTAAAGGTTCCAGCACCAAGTTCTCCAAGTCAACCTGGGAATACAAATCCGGGGTATCCCAGTCCTGGCCAACCAAGTACATCTCCTGGAGGTGTTCTGGTAAAGTCTGACTTTCTGATTTGAATTTCAATATAATCTAAGAACTCTTCTGCATCCTTTAAAGGTTCCAGTACCAAGTTCTCCAGGTCAACCTGGGAATACAAATCCGGGGTATGCCAGTCCTGGCCAACCAAGTACATCTCCTGGAGGTGTTCTGGTAAAGTCTGACTTTCTGATTTGAATTTCAATATAATCTAAGAAATCTTCTACATCCTTTAAAGGTTCCAGCACCAAGTTCTCCAAGTCAACCTGGGAATACAAATCCGGTGTATCCCAGTCCTGGCCAACCAAGTACATCGCCTGGATTTGTTCCGGTAAAGTCTGATTTTCTGATTTGAATTTCAATATAATCTAAGAAATCTTCTACATCCTTTAAAGGTTCCAGCACCAAGTTCTCCAGGTCAACCTGGGAATACAAATCCGGGGTATCCCAGTCCTGGTCAACCGAGTACATCTCCTGGAGGTGTTCCGGTAAAGTCTGATTTTTTTTTGAATGTCAATATAATCTAAGAAATCTTCTACATCCTTTAAAGGTTCCAGCACCAAGCTCTCCAAGTCAACCTTGGATTATAAATCCGGGGTATCCTAAACCTGGCCAACCAAGTACATCGCCTGGATTTGTTCCGGTAAAGTCTGATTATTTGATTTGAATTTCAATATAATCTTAGAAATCTTCTACATCCTTTAAAGGTTCCAGCACCAAGTTCTCCAAGTCAACCTGGGAATACAAATCCGGGGTATCCCAGTCCTGGCCAACCAAGTACATCTCCTGGAGGTGTTCTGGTAAAGTCTGACTTTCTGATTTGAATTTCAATATAATCTAAGAAATCTTCTACATCCTTTAAAGGTTCCAGCACCAAGTTTTCCAAGTCAACCTTGGAATATTAATCCGGGGTATCCTAAACCTGGCCAACCAAGTACATCTCCTGGAGGTGTTCTGGTAAAGTCTGACTTTCTGATTTGAATTTCAATATAATCTAAGAAATCTTCTACATCCTTTAAAGGTTCCAGCACCAAGTTCTCCAAGTCAACCTGGGAATACAAATCCGGTGTATCCCAGTCCTGGCCAACCAAGTACATCGCCTGGAGGTGGTTTGGTAAAGTCTGATTTTCTGATTTGAAATTCAATGTAATCTAAGAAGTCTTCTACATCCTTTAAAGGTTCCAGCACCAAGTTCTCCAAGTCAACCTGGGAATAGAAATCCGGGGTATCCCAATCCTAGCCAACCAAGTACATCGCCTGGAGTTGTTCCGGTAAGATCTGATTTTCTGATTTGAATTTCAATATAATCTAAGAATTCGTCTACGATTTTTAAAGGTTCCGGCACCAATTTCTCCAATTCCACATTTGGATGTAGTTATAAAACCTGACTCTACACGTCTGGAAATTATAAATCCCAACCCAATTAATCTTACCACTATCCCAATTATTGTTTTACCTCCACCAAATATTTCGCCAAACCGTCCACATTTAAATGATACTACAGGCTCTGCAGGTTTGAATATTTCAAATCCTGACTCACTTAATATTTCCGCTCTTCCTGTGGTTGTTATAAATGAACTAAATATTACATCAAGCTTTCCAAATGTGAATGCAATTAATAATACAGGTCCCCCAAGTCTGGAAATTCAAAATCCCGACAAAGTTAATATTACCGAAATCCCAACACTTGTTATACCTCCACCAAAACTTCCTCCCATTAAGGAGCCTTCCTTTCCGGCAAACTTCCCTAATATTATCATTGGAAAACCACGACCCAAACTGGTAAAGTATGATCTACTTCTTTTCAATTTTTTTAATATCTAAGAGAAATCTTTTGCATCCTTTAAAGGTTCCAGCGCCAACTCACCGTAGACCACCGATTAGATTGCCTGTAGGAGCTTCTGCGGTAAAGTGTGCTTTACTTCTATTAATTTGAATATAATCCAAGAGAAGTATTATAAGTCCTGGTTATTCCCATTTTTGTGGCCTTACATTCCTTAACTTGTTATACCGCGACCAAAACCTCCTGCCATGAAGATCCCCATCTTATTCGTAAACTTTCCAAATATTCATATTGAATTTCATATATCCTAACCAAAGTATTTTACATCCTTTATAGACTGCAACGGCAACTGTTTCTAGTCGGACTTTAAACCAAAAACCTGGCCTACCAAGTTTAATGGAACTTATAATGCAAATGTTTGGGCCTCGTACGCGTGATTTGCCAGATTTGAATATAATATCGAACTACCTCTGCGGTTCTTCGCTAGACGATCAGGTTCTATATAAATGAATGTGAAGTAGTTTCTAGTGGAGCTTCTGCTCTGATTTATTTCAACAATAAAAAAGAGGTTTAGCAGATCATGTGACTTTTATTCATTAAAAAATATCTCGGACTCTTGGTCCAAAATACTTAAGCATTGTATGGAACTCAACTTGTAATTAACTTATCATAACTACATCATTTATTGCAGCAAAAATGCCAAAATCAATCGGAAACGAAGCTAAATGGTTTTTTTTTCGCAGCCTAATTAATTTCGCATTCCCCCTATTGATTGCCGAATTTAAAACAATGGGAATTCCAGGGAAATGTAGGACCTAGGTACGCGTATTCACGGGGCTGCTTGCAAGCTAAAATTCAATTCCATTATTAATACAAAACTTAAATTAAGCCCCGGTACCCGGGACACGTCACTATCAGGCCATGGCAGGCGGCATCGGGTAACAGCAGGTCCTGCCACATCCGACAAATGCAATGCGGGAAGCGACAACAACAAGGATAACAGCAGCAACAACAACAAGGATAACAGCAACAACAACAGCGAGTAGAACAGCAATTCGCAGCGGCATAGTCAAAATATCTAACGTACAACAGCTGGAAGACAAAGGCAAAGGCGACCAAATCAACGGCAACGGATGCGAGAATGTTTATGCCCATTATGAACAAGCGTCGGTTGTGTGTGGGCACTGAGAGAAATTAACTGAATATATCCCCGGAATATGAAAATAAAATAATAAAAATAAATAACAATAAATGTAAGAGTAAAAATGCTTAAAACAAGAACACAATAAATTATGCAGACACTCAGTCAAGGCGGCATAATGTTGAAAACAATTCAATGTAATTCAAAAAATATTGTTTTGAGGAGGGCATAAATATTAATATACTTTTTCAAATGAATTTAGTAAGTTTTATAATTTATTGGAGGGGTATATAAAATATATATATTAAAAAACAAGCCCTTCCAATTTTTTGGATCGAACGACTATATAACATAGCTGCGGTTAACTTTCATTCTTGTAATAACATAACATTGGAATGGCAGTACATAGCTTTCTCTTTCTCTCTCTCTCTCTCCACCTTGATCTAGAGGTATCTATTTCTCTCTCGCTCTCACTTTCTCTGTTCTCTTCACGCGGGACTATAAATAGAGGCACAGCCTCCGCTCCCACCTCAGTCTGTTCGCGGCCTCCCCGCTGTTAACATCTCTAGTGATAGTGATAGTGATTAAATTTGGATAACTAGGAAGAAGCCTCCTTTGATGATACCATGGAAAACTTAATTAAAGTCACCAAGCATGCAACTCTACACTTTTTCCTCTACTGCGGTAAGTCTCAACCATATTATTATATATATCTATATGTATAAAGATCCTATAGGAGGGATCAGGTCTAGAATCAGCTGTGCTAGCTATGCATTTATTTTATTCAATTAATTACCTTATTGCCATGGACCTCATTGCTTAAATGTAATTCAAAGTGATGCAGCAATTTTTGCATTTTGGATATATACAAACGTCTTCTTAAAGTTACATCCTAGCTTAATTATTCACGAATATTGATTACTAACTTACTTAGTTTCAAAACTGACCCCAGCCTTACTACTCTTTCAGAGTTCCATAATTTCAGTCTGAAGCTAGCAAAGCAGTGAAGGAATCATTTCCGACCCTATAAATCATATATATCCTTGATCAGCATTATCAGGGGAGTCTTTCTCGCCATTTTTTGGCAGAAAAAAAATGTACTCAATTTTTTCTAAAATTTTATAATGGGTTACATAGTTAAAATTGTCAAAATTTTGATAAAAAATTAAATTTTGTAAAATTTTAATACGTAGTGTGCAGATTTGTTGACGCTTTAAAAACTAGCACAGAAAAGTAATCCGAGTTGAAAATAAAGTATTTTTGGCTTAGTTATGATATTTGAAAAACTTTGAATTATCCAAAAATGTTGTGATTTCTATAGCACTCTTGTATATTATAAATTTGTTCTACTTTTTATACACTCATTTCTCCCAGTGCAGGCATTTGCTTTTGCATGTGTCAGTGTGTGGGGGCGTTCAAAATGGACCGAATGAAGGGGTAAAGGGGCATTCACATATAGCCAGCGCCTATATAAACGTTTTGTGCATAGCAAAATCTGTTTGCCGCAGGATCCGACCTAGTTGAAAATCCTTCCAAATTATTCACGAAAATTATGTGTGCGAAAGCGAAAATTTGTGCACAGACGACGATGGCGATGATGCCGACGAGGACGAGGACGAGGACTGGCATGCGAAACGGAATATTGCGCATACGACATGTGTTTGGCATATATTTAAATGAACGAACGAGACGGAAGGCTGGTAGGATGGCATTGTCATTAGCCCAATTCGCAGATCGCTTTTAGTAAGCCCTATTTTTTATTTTGTGCCCTTCCAATCATTTATCAAATGAGTTTTCACAGAATGTCACGCAATGCAATATCTGCTGAGAGGAAATCCTGCGAAATAAATGATGCCAGAGTCAGCATGCATTGCAGTTTCCTCAGTTTTCCCAGTTTCAGTGTCATAAGTAAATCCCAGCGGGATAGAAAAATGACTAAGAACTCCTACTAGTGACTGGGGACAAGTTAAAGTTGCTCTCCCTCTGGCATTATTACATTGTTGCATAAGACAGGAGCCAGGAGGAGGACAAGGAGGCGGAATTGGGTCCTGCAGCCAATAAGTTCCCAGCCAGCAGCCGTTGCCACTGCAGCAAATATCCTTTCTGGCTCCTTGACATTTATGTACATGCGCGTATATGCTGCCAGGGCACTTACAACTTAAAGCTTTTAATAAAAATGTCAAGCGCATTGAAGTGCATTGAAGGCAGCAGTCGAATGTGCACAGTCACGGTTCCGTAAAGGTCGAACAGGCAACATATATCCTTAGATTTATTCTTTATTAGCAAATACGAAGGGCTTTGAATGCATAATAAAATGGTATAAGTATTCTGTTACCTAGTTGAGGGAATACTTCATGGAAAAAATGAATATTTTTCCAAGGAAAAAAGGTTGGGTTTTACTTTTTGATTTATTAAACAGGGCTTCTTTTGAAATATCAATTTAAACCGATTATTAGTAGAATGGTTTTGGCAAGTTTGCTGGAATTATAATATAATAAATGGGGATCAAATAAATAAACAATTTTTCCATATAAAATTGATGGAAATTTAGCTGTAATATTCTTTATTGTTGTAAATTTTGTAGAATTTAAAATCGCTTTAAAAAAATTCCCTCTTAAAGCCTCCTAAAAGTGACCTCCTTCTCAGAATACATCTGTCAAATATATGTCACCGGAAATCAAGCTGCTTCTCGCATGTTCCTGCCTTTGTTTCACACGACTAGCTCTCGTTTGGATGTTGGCTAACCAACCTGGCCTTAACCCATGCCACCATCCCTTTGCATACCCCTTAACCCTTTTGTATTAGCTGCTAGTGGTGATGCATTCAGCTGAAATGGAGGTATGCAAACGTGTTTTCCTTGGCTGCTGACAGGATACTGGACCTGGATCCTGGGACCCTCTGCAGCTGACAATTTTATTGACAGCTCGACATTTAGATTGATTGCAGTTGCAGTTGCACTTGCGATAACAATACGTGGTCCTTCTCTCCCTACTCTATTTCCTTTAATTAAAAGTTTGGCCAAAATATTGTTTACTCTGGGGAAAAAAGCATTGTGGAATGTTGAGATATATGTATGTATATACAAATGGGATGGGATAAGAATATCTTGGTATGCAATTTGCTTAACTTTTGGCTTACTTCAGAAACCCTGGCTCTGCCTTTGTTGGCTTTTCTTTTTATTCCGCCAGGGAATCGTGCAAAACTATTTCAATTTTCAGCAAACACCCAAGTTAAGGGCTTGTATTTTTTAACAGAAAGTTTTTTATTGGGAAATTCTTTGAAGGAGTTATAAATTACAGGTGAAATATGGAAAGATTATAACAGGTTCTTCTTTTAAAGTGTTTCATTATTTTCAAAACATATCGTAAAATGTAGAGGAAAGCTGAAACTTTTCCATGAAATCTGAACATTTAACTGTAGCAATAATAAATAATATCAATGACCTTTAAATACTTATCCTTAATACCCTTTCAACTCAAGTGTTTAAGCTTCAATTAATCGATATCCTTCGCTCCTTTTGATTACAAATTCCCACTTGTCAGCGACTTACTTAAGGCATCAAATCATCAATTCTCAGATAGACTCACATACACATTATCCTGCCAGCACACACACACACACACACACACACAAATGACTGTTGACAATTGGAAAATGCCATCCCCCGTCTCTTCACCCAAATATACCGATATCCTGGATATCCTTCCACTCGAATTCAGTGTGGCTGTAAATTATGCATACAAATTAGAAACTACCGTCATATGTGTAGGGGATGACGTAAACACAGAAATGTTGAATAATAACATTAATGAAAACAATGCAGAGAGGGAGGAGGAGGAGTGGGGAGGGGACAGAAGAAGGGGGAGACAGACAAGGGGGATAGGGGCTAGAAGGACATGGAAAAGGACAAACAGCTGCAGGAAGCAAAGGCAAGCAGAAAATTAAACAGAACAAAGCAGTAGCAAAAGCAGATGGCGACAAGATAAACATAGACACTCATACGGTTCTACTTACACATGCATACATTGAGAGAAAAGAGTGGTACTTAATTAAATAAAAAATGTAAAGCAGTTTCTGCAATATTGTTGGAAGGACTCTTGCAAATTAAGAGCGGTTTTCGCATTTATTTTTATGTGTTTATAAAACATTAAACACAAAGATTCTGAATATTCTATAGATGTATATTTTAAAAAGTACAAAAACCTAATAAAATAAAGTTTTCCTATTTAAAATCATAATAGATACTCTAAAAATTATTAAAGATACCATGAAGTGCAATTAAAATGTGATATTTTTAATTTAATAAATAATATAAACTGTCAGTTAAGATTTCTTGTATATTTTCCATTTCTATACTTTTTCTTTCATCCTAATTGTCTCCAAGTGCACCTGCAGGTTCGACAACAATCACAGTGAGCGCTAAAACAAAACAAACAGC